GCTTTGACTGTTGGGTAGAAGTCTGCTGCGGAGCTCGCACCAGTGCGGACTCGGCAGAAGTGTGGATCAAGGGCGCATAACGGCCGCAAAGGGGGCGCTCGCAAGCACCCTTCTGAGCGCTAAAATGACAAATGGGACACCCTACGGTCTCGTGGACTTAATGGACACGTGCACGCGGCGGCCATTGTAAGTCCGTAAGACCGCAAGTGCACATGAAGTGTTCCATTTGGGACAGGGCCAGAATGGATTTAGTGTGTTAAGGGCACTGCGCTTTGCCGTTTTTAAGATCTGGGACAGTCTTGCCAGTGTTGCCAAGAATTGGGCTACTCTAACACTGTTTCCACGGGTTGTTTTTCAAGTCCGTGAGTTTAAGCGACCACAAGACCGTGATATTTAGCCCCTAAAATGCGAATTTTACCAGGGGAACCACACCATAAAACGTGTATTTTACCCCCCGAACACGATTTTTACCAGGGGACTCCCCTGCACTGTATACATAAATTGTGAATTATGAAAATTTAAAAAATGTTTTAATTTATCTTGAAAAAAGCAAGTAAAACAATTATCTTTATTTAAAATGTTTTAAGTCTTACTACTTCTCCTTTTGTTATAATGGGATAATTCATACCGGGATGTATGCTAAAAAATTTTGGATGTGGTGCCCTACCTGAAAATTTTTCACCAGCCGCCAATGATATGTAACATTCATAAAAATCACAAGGCCCTGCTGTATTGTGAATCATTAAAGACATTGCACTGTGCCATTGTCACAATACAGCACACTCCCACTCATATTATATTATTAAATTAAGCACACCTCAAACCGTTACCCTTCCAGTGTTTTGGAAGTTTATAATCCTTGTAGTCTACACTTAAGCCATGTTTGTTTTGTTTAAAGTTTGTTTTGGTTTTGTTTAAGCTTAACTGGTAGGATAAACAAATGTTTAATAGGTATAAAGAAAATCCTTAATGCATCTCTTGTTAAGTACGAGACTCTTATATTATTCAGGTATTAATTCCTAAAGCAATATTACAAATCATTCAGAATCTGTCTAAAATATGTCTCATTTTGTCTTTATCATGACGTAGCTATCCTCTGTCTGTTTTCTCCCTGTCTACCTTTCTTCAAATAATAATAAATGTTTTGTGCTTTTTAAATGTGGAAACATTAGCTTTTAAGAGAAGGTTTGGGTTTAGTGATTACACAGATTTAAAGGCAGAGCTTAATATAATTTGTAGTAACCCAGTCATTTATCCTTTTTATACTCAGCTCAACAGATGCCATAAATTCATTTAATAGTGTTCTGTGTCTGTATGATCAGTGGACAATTAGATAAAGTCAACCTAAGTTTTATAACTATTAACATGTGATGATGCCACACTGTCCAAGACTGAGGCAAACGTACAAATGGTGTTATGTCTGAACTTGACTCTAAATTACAGTTTACTGTTAACCATTGCCCACAGCATGGTGTGTACTTGACAGAATGACCAGAGCAACATTGGGCTGTTCGATTTTCCGTTTGAATAACAATGCTCTGAGAGACAGGTATTTGAAGCAGAGAGTCCCAATGGACGAGCACTAAGCGGACTAACAAGCCACTCCAGCACTCTGAACCTCCACACGCGTCAACCGCAGCTTTAATGGTGGCAACTTTGATTTCAGCAGTAATTGGGGTCTTGTCTCTGTCTAGTACTGCCAGTAACACGAGCTAAGGTTAATAAAGGCTAAGGTGTTTGTGCGCCTGTATGTGTATTTTTCCTATGGCGGGTCTTTATGTGTCCGTATGTGTGAGTGTTTTCTTATGGCAGGTTGCTCAAGTGGGAAAGGCTGGGTAATTAGATGCCATGGGCGCTTTACCTAGGTCATGCACTTCAACACACTTCAACCTCTTCAATCACAAATACATAGGCTAACCTTGTATTTGTCAAACTGCACAAAACAGTCAAAAGTATCCATAAATCATGAGTTAAGACTTACTTATAATTGAATTAGTAAACGGTTGTTCATGCCATTGTGTCATGAAACGAACAAATGTGATGGTGAGGATTATTTGCCTCCACAAACAATTCACTGAGGCTGAAAATTCACATTAACGTTCTGACAGTTTCTTATTAAACAATAGTTGTCATCTGATAATGCATTTATTCTGGTATGTGTTCCATCAGCCAAGTCTATATTTTATACTTGAGGTATCATCAAGTTTTAAATCAAACCATTTAAGCTGTCACCTATGGATGAATTTGAAGTGAAGAGTAAAAACTGGAAATGTCACTCTGGTGCAAAACAGGCCCAGCTGCAATTTTAAAAATACAATTTAATGTAAGAACAACAGTGGCAAACTCATCATCTTAGTAGTTAGAAGAATGAATCAGTAGCAGTTTTGAAATCATGCTCCTTTATTTCATAGATAAAGGAGGGGAACTCTTAACCTGTAAGAGGATGTGTATAAAGATGTCCACAAATAAGTCTTTCATTATTAAAGTATAGATTAAAGAAAATAAAAATATGATATTTGTCACCTGAATGCAAACTGACACACATGTGAAGGTGCTTTGAATCTGATTTCCATGAGAAATTCTATTGTATGTTTAAAGCAACTGTACATGTGTGATATCTGGTGTTGTTCATTACATATTTATGGTATATTCACGTTTTGATTGAAGGTATGTATGTCACTACAGGGGAAATCATTCTTTAGAGTACATCTCCATCATCATTAGTCTATTTATGGGTCAAACTATACTAAGCAGTTAACATATTTCAGTACCTAAGTAAATACATGCACTTCTACAAACTTCTCTTGGAACCTGTCTAGTAGTAGTTTTCAGTGATGTGGCAGTTAAACTGACCATGGGGAAAAGACATGTAAATGTGTAGGATTAATCTCTTGAGCAATGATATTGAGGTTAGCCCACAGGTATGCAATTAGTAAACGTTTGAAAGTTGAAACTGTGAGACCACCACACTTATATAAACAAGACTGTAAAATGATTTGCAAATGGTTTGATCATTTTTTAAATTAGTAAGTTAAATACCCATTTCAGACATGGCAATTTAAGCCATCTCTTCTTTAATACATATATAATATATCAGAAATATTACAAAGAGATTGTTTTTCTAATATCTTTCTGTCAGCTAATTGTGTCAGATTTTTGAGAAAGTACAGTAGATATTCAAAAGGGTTCTTATAAATCTAATCATGTACACAGGATATGGAACATGGCCCTGACAAAATGTACAGTGATTCAGACAAAAAAGAAATGGAATACAACAATCATGAAACAAGCTTTAAACTGAAACATAGCAGTAATCTCATTCATCTTTTAAATATCACTATTTATAACATTTCTGATTTTAAAGGCAAGCTTTGTAGACTACTTGCACGTTTAAAGAGTGATCAGGAACAAAGAACAAGAAAACCTCTGTGATGATAATCAGAACCTGGTTCTCATAGATTTGCCCTGAGCCCCACCTGCTGGACAACAGGCTGCAACTGTCAACCAGAATGTTCAATAGTCCAGTTACAAAGGCAGATCCTTGTCAAATTCAGATCCTGAAATCTTATCATCAATTATCTTTAAATGTCATGTTATGTGTAATGTTATGGAATAACTATATTTATGTGTTCTCACATTTCTGAACCAAATCTTTGAAAATAATTGTATCAGTAAATTGTAATAATTTGCTTTCTTTTTGTGTTAATTGATCTTTTTAGTCCTAATCTGGTATGTAAAGATGTCCAGTGCTGGAAAACAGTAACAATGACATCTGTGAAACCAATGAAAATGTTTTACCTAGAAAAATTTCCAGAACATTTGTGTTCTCATTTCTTTGAGTCAAGTCAAGATTGCGATGAAGAATAGCAATAAAGCTGGTTACAAAACACTTCTAATCTGGCCTGTGAGACAGACTTGTAAGGCCAAATTTCTTTTCCCATCATTCTTTGTAAATGATATTACACATAAATAATATCATTATTTAGTGAGACTTTTTACTGGCATAAAAAAGAGGGATCACATTTCTCCCATTTTGATGACTTTACATTGGCTTCCTGTAAAGTTTAGAATTGATTTTAAAATGGCTATTTTTGTGTATAAGGCTTTATCTGCTGCTGCACCAAAATACATAAGTGATCTTCTAATTCCTTCCTCTCCTCAACGAGCACTCAGGTCATTCCGCTTCTCTTAACTGTCCTGCGTTGTTGTTGTAAATCTAAGGGTGGTCGGGCCTTCTCTGTTGCAGCACCCAAACTTTGGAACAGTCTGCTTTAAATGTGAGGTGAGTTCTTACATCTTATTTGTTCTCTCAGTCTTTTCATTAAGATTAGCTTAATGTTTTTTTATTTAAGTTTTCTGGTTGTATTATATTTCATATGTTTGATTTTTTTTATATATATATATATATATGCTTAATGCGTTTTCTATACAGCACTTTGGTGCAGTTCTGTTGCTTTTAAATGTGCCATAGAAATAAATGTTGTCTTGACTTGATAAATAGCATAACCTTTTTGATTCCAAGGCCCCTCCACTGTCCACAACCCACAACAATAGAAGGCCTTATGACTATTGTGATTCACTCAATAAGGATTAAAGATGAGGATTTAAAAAAAAATAATAATACAGAAGTAAATACAGAGGTTGACTTAGTGAGCCCTGGCCACCTGGTTAAGAACCACTGGCATAAACTACACAGCTAATGTGCCTTGGTGCAAAAATACTTTGTTGGGAAGTGAACATCACACCGAAATCACTGTTATGTACTGTTATATGATCTTCCCAGTAGAACTTCTTAAAGGCACAGCAGACCAAAGAAACGTTTGTTTCCATCATTCAATGAAAGCGTGGGAAATGGTGAAAGAAAACGAAATATGGCTGTTTTGACGAAGAAAATGTTTACCTACATTACAAGTGGACCTCAAGGCCAAGAATTAAAATACAAAAATGTATTATATGACCCCTTTAACCCAGGCTGTGTCACGTGACCCGACATCTCCGGACTGGCCAGGATGAGCGCAGCCAGAAAATGGCGGATATTGAGGAGTTACGGGTAGGCGAAAGTGCAATGATAGCTGGCTACTTCTATGCGTCTTTCACATTTTAAAAACCATTTTGCGGTTACCGTTTGTTAATCCATTTTACTGTTCGGGTTGCTGCCCTTGGGTTAGTTTCTGTATAGTTAACACAGAAACGTCCCATCACTCTGTTAGACGGAGTGTGTTTAGCCTGTTAGCCACCAACCACTCTTTTAGCTCTCGATCTGCAACACAAACATTGAAGATCAGCCTCAAAATGGCACTGCTTTTATTACCACCTTTCACTGCATGAAAAAGCTTTATTATAATGCCTAACTGAACTGACGACTGTTCGCTGCAGGTAAAAAGTTTTTTACGTTACAATTTCTTCACTGCTCGATTTGTTTTGGCTGGTCTTTTGTTAGTTAACGTCCGACAGCAATCGACGATGTCTACATGTAGTTTGATTTATGACTTGTTTGCATGGGCGAAAGATGTGTAGATCAGTTTGTCCGAAATGTGTGTGCGTGTGTGTAAATATAAGTCAACATTTTACACAAAAAATTGCGAAGTAACTTTAAAGAGGGACACCTTGAAAATGTTGTTTACAAGCCTGCAAGTGGGTCGCCAGCAAGCAAGACAAACTTGATCCTTGTCACCGTGATCGTTTTCTCCCCCACATTTGTCTCAAGATAACAGCTTTGCCTAATTTAGTGCATAAATCATCTCTCTAAAGTTTAATTTGAATGCGTTGCAGTTCAGCATCAGCAGCTATACAATCAATAACAAATAGCCTGTGTGTTGGACACAGGAAAGTTAGACACCTGCTTTTGTGTGCTATTATACTTGCCATTGTTTGACTAATTCATGTTGTCTTGTAAATTGTTCAGAAACATCCTGCTTAACTGTAAACTAAGCTTTTTTTTAACCAGCAGTACAGTTCATTTCTGTCTGGATCAAAGTGAGCATCTGTGTTTTGTCCTTTTGTCACTCTTTTGATGTTCATCTAATTGGTCTTGGAATTATTCTCAACATTTTAGATGCATTTCGGTCATTTGTTAAGGATTTTTAAAGAAAAACGGATTAACACGTAAGAACAATCAAGCATGGACCATGTAATGAAGGGTCAGTTGAGATTTTCTTCTTTCTCTGGGGTTTCTGGATTGGGTGTATTTTGGTGGGTTGTCACCTCACTTCACGCATAATTCTTTATTAATTAAGCTGCTTTCAAATGACACCTTTTGGTTCTTTAAAAATCTAGTGTAACCGTATTCCACCAGCGTATGCCATGATTATTAATGCACACATTTTTATGTTTTTGGAAATTCTTATTGTAAATGTAAAAGTTGACAGCATGGCATAGAGGGTGGTTTCTCTTACTAACTTGTGTTGCAGAAATGTTCATTTGCTTTATCAGGCCATTTGCTTTTACATGTTTGGTATCTCAAAGTGTTTTATTGCTCGTCTGGATTTGTTTTGTTTTTTTTTTGTTTTGTTTTGTTTTCAGAATATGGTATCAAGTTTCCGCGTCTCAGAGCTCCAGGTACTGTTAGGATTTGCTGGAAGGAATAAGAGTGGTCGAAAACATGAACTTTTGCTGAGGGCTTTGCATTTACTCAGGAGTGGTTGTAGTCCTGCTGTGCAGATCAAAATAAAGGAACTTTATCGTCGGAGATACCCGCGGACATTTGATGGTCTTCAGGATTTGGCGGCTCTGAAGTCAAGCATTAAATCCTATTTTCAAATAGACAGCGGTGACACAGTAGTGAGCTCAGATCTTCCTCTGCAAACCGGCCATTCTGACTTCCTGCAGCAGCAGCAGCACCTGGTGAGCTGCGATTCACCTGCGTTTCATGAATCAAAGCCCATGATGATGAATATGCAGCAGCAGCCCACGCCACTTATGGCCCCAGTTCACCCAGACGTGCAGATGAAGTCCCTACCATTTTACGATGTGCTGGATGTCTTGATTAAACCATCAAGCTTAGGTAATTTTATAAGATATGTTTGGATTGTCTTTTATTTTATTAAAGTTTTTTTTTTTTTTAAAGAAATTAATGCTTTTGTTCAGCAAGGCCGCATTAAATGATCAAAAGTGACAGTAAAGACGTTTAGAATGTTATGAAAGTTTGATTTTTCAAATAAAATGCTGTTACTTTATATTCATCGAAAATTCCAGAAAAAAAAATATCACAGGGTGGCCGCGGGTCCTTAAAAAGTCTTAAAATGTCTTAAATTCAGATTCAGTAGGACTTAAATATTTTTGGTCACGTTACCACAAAAATTTCTCCAGTCTGACGACCCAGTGAGTGTCCATCAAGAGTACATGATGTGTCGTCGTACCCCCGCCTCCGAACTACTTTAACTGGGTTCATGCAAGTTTACTGAAAAATGGCTCGAGAATTGTACTTGCCCGACAGGACTAGTAGCCTGATTAAAACTTAAGTGACAAAATATAATCACGCATCAAAACGCGCGAATGATTCTTCTGATTTTATTACATTCAGCTTAAACAGCGATTGATAATTGATAGTGTATTTCTATTATCAATGTCGCGCTGTTGAGGCTCGTGCTGCCTGTCTCTGTGAGAGACTTTCATGGAGAAATCAAATCAAATGAGCGTACGGCACACATAAAGAAACCCACAAAACAAACATACTGAGGTAAAAATTCAAAATGTTTAGTTTATTTATAGCATGATATAGTCAAGTAACATACCATGACAAGGGAGCTATTTTGTTGAATATTTTCACGATTGCAAATGTTACATTGATTTTAGTTCAACAAACAAGTAGTAAAGTATATGAAGTTACTTACATTTTTAGACACAATTGACTGTTTTGTTCTATTTCACCAACGAAAATAGTTCCAAACAAAGATCAGAACAGAATTATTGCGCACATTCTCCAAGCCACACCC